AATACTTCGTATGTGCATTCCACGAAGTCGTTCCTTGAAGATTGACCCCAAATTCTCGATTGGATTTAAATTAGTAGAGTTTCCGAGCCAGTCGATAGTACTTTTATTTGCTCACTGGTAAGGCTTGCTAGTGTGTTAGTGCAGTGTTACAATTTTCGTACGCCTCCTTGGAGTAACGTCCATCGCAGACTATGGCCGTAGGACAATCGACAGTCGATACAATAGTGTCTGGGCGTGATAAAAATCTGATGCAATCACGGATACGCAATATTTTTCAAGGCCAAGCAAATTTTATCATACACCCCGAAAATAGATTCATATTACTGCACACAACTGCAAATGACCTAGTTTGGGAAAAAGATTAGAAATCGGTCACAACCGGTCACTCCAGTGGGTCTAATTTTTGGAATTTTTGAAACTAAAGCGGTTGTTTCAATTAATTTGCACAAGGGTGTATTTTTAGTTATATCTGAAATTTTAACACATATGGATATATTATTCGTTTTGTATGTGTAAATTATGGATAAGACAGCACGCGTGCAATCCGAGGCTGTGTTATTGAGCTATTAGGTTGGTGCCAAAATAATGGCATAATAATGTCGTTTTTGACGTATGTTTTAACGTCAAAAAACGACATTATTACGTCATTATTTTTGCACCAACCTAATATAATCGCAGGGGGGAGAACTGCATGTGTTTGTGCCTGTAATCTTCCTCACACACTGTCTCTAACTCTACAAACAAGCCTTATCGTAAACAACATTGTCGATCTTGGCTCCCTTCCTTTCTCTGTCATTCTTAATTGCAAACGAGGTTGACATTACGTTTATGAGCTGAGGCTGGAATGCTGATCATATGGCGAACACCAGAAAATGTCACCCTTTTCTGCATCCGGTGTTGAAAACTAACAACTGGGAAATACTGCCCGAACAGCTTTTATGTCTGGTTCATCTTTTAAAACCAACCAGCATATCTATATACCGTCTGTTCTTTAAAACGATTAGACGTCGGATGTAGTTTGGGCATTTTCGCCTCGAGAAGTTGTCTTTTCATGATATATCAATGACATATTAGTTTAGATCAACTCATGATATTGGGATAATCAGTGAGAATAAAACTCACTCTAACTTTACTATTTCTTACATTGCCCATATCAGACAAAAAAAGTTATTATTTGTCTCTTTCTTTTATATTCTGGTCATGAAAGTTTTCTCATTGGTTTGTCGAAATATGGCTTTGTGGCTTGGCGATTATGATTATGCATCTATTTTTAGAGATGGTGAAATTTTGGTCTCCCGTTTAATAACGCGGAGCACGACTTATCTAGTACGAAGCGTGTTCAAGTTGCTGCAGCTGTAACAGGAAATCCGGTTCGAGGCTTAGAGGAGTGCATGTGCATCGTAATTTAATGAAATGGACATCACACCTATGCAAATGTATTAACTCCTGCCGCTTACTATATAAGCGGCTACATTGCTTGAAAGGGACGACAGTAATTCTGTAGACGACGTTCGTGGTGTGTAGCAGAAATAGAAAGTGCGACAGGCGACATATGCAGAATACTCTAAACTAACCACAAGCTACTTCGGTACTTATGATGGACGCCGGTTTCGATCTGAAGCTGAATCCCCTGTGGTCGAATGGATAGAAAAGGCGGAACTTGTCTGCAGACTGTGCGATCTGAAGCGGCTGGAACACGTCATTTCCTTGAAACTAACGTTAGGAGGCGCGTTTGATGTTTACCCGAGACGAGGAGAAGGCGAATGCAGACAAAATAAAGATTGCCTTAAATACGGCTTTCGCAAGGGACGAGCTCGCGGCGTACGAGCAATTCATAGCGCGCTGGATGTAACCTGACGAATCCGTTGAAGTCTTTCTGGCGGTGGTATGGAAGCTCTCAGTATTGATTGGTGCTTACCTAGAACGAGTTGATGCAGATGTAACAGGAAATCCGGATCGAGGCTTAGAGGCGCGCGTGCGCATTGACGGCGTTGGGAATAAAAATGGACATCACACCTATGAAAATGTATCAACACCTGCCGCTTATATAAACGGCTACATTGCTTGCTAGGGGACGGTAGTAATTCTGTAGACAACGCTCGTGGTGTGCAACAGAAAGAGAAAGCGCTACAGGCCAAATAGATGAAGGCCCCTCTAGTAAACACATCATTTATTTTTCTATCACTGCAGGTTTATATTTTTTCAAAATGCGTGTTTGTATAAAAAGATAGAGATTATATATATATATATATATATATATATATATATATATATATATATATATATATATATATATATATATATACACGACTCTCCCGTCGAATTCGACGTATGAGGGTCAAGCAGATCAGTTCCTAGGAAACCGATAGCCCGACAACAGCACATGAGATTTGATTATAGTGGTGAAGGTTTCGTGCAGGACCATCCACACTTTTTGAAGGACCGAATACAGAGACCTGGTGCACTACGTGCCACAAGGTCCCCAAACGACCCTCCGCAGGTTTAGAATTCAGAGTTGTCCTTCTCCTAGACCAGTTGCCATCCAAGGCTATAGAACCCAGTCTATCTCCTGCTATTTACCCATAGCTGGAGGGAGCAGAAGAGGATTCACAGCTTTCCCAAGGGTATTAGCACGTAAGTGAATAATGAATTCGACTAGAATTTGAACTCGGCTCTCCGATTCCTCAATCCAAGTCTCTATCCATTACTCCACGTGCCTGACAGCCTGCTCTCTCTCTCTTACCCCCTCTCTCTCTCTTTATATATATATATATATATATATATATATATATATATATATATATATATATATATATATATATATATATATATATATATATATATATATATATATAGTTTTAATAAATCGCAGAATTTATCAACAATACATTTCATGATCTAGAAAATATATCTCTAAAAACATACCTATACTCTGCAAGTATAAAATAATGTACAAAATGTCTGTTGTTGAAAGCATAAAGTTACGTACGAAATATTTAGATTTCGACATAAAATAACCTATAGAGATGTTGATATGCCACCAAACAAAGTCAACCAACCAAACAAAAACTCTTTCATTAGTCCATATAATACCCTACAATTTCTTAAAGAGATCAAACTGTATTCCAATTTTTTTTCCTCAGTAAAGTTTTCTCAGTTTCCTTCAGTCTCAGTAACCTCTTACGTCTTGGTGGCTTTATTGCCTTTCTTTGGTTGAAATTATTAAAAGAATTACCTACTTGTATAATGTAGTAATGGGAGTGCTGGTAGTATAACGGTTAGAAAAATCAGCGAAACGATTTTGAATTCCGTTCAATTCGTTATGTCTAAATTACTAAATGTAAGGTTAAATTCTATTCTAATGGTTTCCTTCCGTCTCGCCTGTGGCATTCTCTTCCAACTTCTTGTTTTCCTATCAACTACAATTTTCAAAAATCCAAATGTAACGTCAATCGTCGTCATTTGTTTCCTTGAATCCTTTTCTTTTTATTGTCCTTTCTCCTCAATAACATTTTTCCAGTTTCTTTCAGTCCCATCCTGGGTATGACGATAAACTACACCCGGCAGCAAGGCTTATGATCAGAAAGATTTAACAAGCGTGGAACCGCATTTTAATTTCTGTTTTCCTCGGGTCCATCCTGACCCGGGGCGGTAGTATCAGTTCGGGTCCCAGCTACGGGAAAATAGACTCATAAGCCTTTGAACAAAGAAAGACAAATGGAGAACTTAGCCGACACGTTTCATAATCTGGTGGACTTTGCCGTGGTACCAGAGGATGAAATGCGTCGGCTAAGATAATTTTACCTTTTAATAAATTTAAGATTTAAGATAATTTTACCTTCTAATAAATTTAAGATTTAAGATAATTTTACCTTTTAATAAATTTAAGATTTAAGATGATTTTACCTTTTTATAAATTCTGAGAATTTCGCAGAATCTATTGTTAAAATTAACGTACTTTTTTCTTTTCTTTTGAAGGTATATTTCCTCGTAATGGTACCAGCAGAGATTATCATCAGCCATTTTTAGCATTTTCAACAACGATGCTACGACACCAGAGACTGGAATTTAAGTTCTGAAAATTAATGCTGCAAACTGGCAACTTTTAAAGTATTCTACGGAACCATGCAACCATCCCAACATCATACCATTTCTATCTCTATAAAATTATCGTCTCCACATTGAAAGAATAAACAGGACAAAAACCGAATTAGCAGAACTGAATAGCATTTAAAGGCAAATAAATTTAAATGAATCCATTAATAACATTCAATAATAAAGGCTTATAAATCAAACATTATTAAATTTCGTTTTCGGTGTAATTTGAGAGAAAAATTATATTAGATAGAATAACAAATTTGTTATTTATCTGTTCATTCATAAGAATATATATATATATTGTTTTAATTCTGTTTTTAAAACAAATAAAGTGTTTTTATTACTACACTTTCACAGTTATTAAACCACTTAATAACCGTTTACTAATTAGTAATTAATTAGTAAATTACAGGTGAATAAATTATAGGTTTTAAATTTTAATGAAATTACAGGTAAATACATTTTTACTCCCATCATCGCATTTATTGTATAAAAGGCATTATTCATATCAATATTAATTCTTCATCAAAGTTCTTAACTCCACATAGCTAATTATTTTTATAAATTAACCCTCTAACGAAATCTATATAGATGTACACTTAATTTTAATATTATTTAAAATGCTATTTTCCTGTCGATAACTTATCATTCTGCATTTTGAAATAAGAAGTCTTCTCTTAAAATATATAAACAGTGCATGATTACATTCTTTAAACAGACGTCAATAAGTGTTCACACATTAATTTCAAGACCTTTTTCTTCATTTTGAAGGCCCTTCTGAGAGGAGTAAAACAAGGAAACCCCTGTAATATGATAAGTATAACAAATACTGCGTAAGATAGCTAACCGAACAGTGTGTATATCTTTATTTAAAAAATAAAGCCAAGTAGGCTGCCTATGTCATGGAATCTCCAAGATTCTCTCACTTCCTGTCTCTTACTCTTCTCTATATTTTGACAAACTGTGCAGTTTTCAGTGAACGGCTGACTATTCTTAAGTACAAATGCGCCGAACGAGGTGTGTGCGAATGTTCCGAAGGAATCTACGACCCGTTTTATACGGGTATTATCACTATCGACTGCCGTGGACGTAATCTAACCAAAGTACCGGTTCTTATTGGAATACCGAATTTCAAATACTACCGATTTCTACTCAGAGACAATCGCATAACGTTTATAAACAACCGTGATTTTCGTTACAGTTTGTTCATCGAAATTGATCTCGGTGGCAGTAATTTCTTGATCCAGGTGGCAGACAAGGCCTTTGTGGCTACGAGTCGTTTTCTGAGACAGCTCACCTTAAATGTAAGCCAAATGAACGTTTATAAACTTCGCTTTTTGCACGGCGTCCCGAAGATTCAGGAATTGACTCTGGAAAGTAACGGTAAAAGGGAACAAACAACTCTTCCCAGTCGCGTTTTTCCGGGTTATAAACTAAAAGCCATGCGCAAACTGACACTGACCGGTTTTGGTCTCACTAAAATCGCCTGGGACGCTTTTCTCGGTGTTAGTAATATTCATATTCTTCGTCTACCATACAACAATTTATCTGTCGTGCCGACCGCAGCTTTGAAAGGCTTGCGGAAGCTTTCTGAGCTTGATCTTAGTCATAATAATTTCCGGACTTTAGTAAAGTACCCCTTTGAACAGCTGTACAAACTATCTAAGCTTGATTTGAGCCACAATTTATTTGACGGCCCCGAAGCTATAGCCCCGGATGCGTTTTCTGATTTGAAGAACTGTTTGAAAACTTTGATTATTACGAACTCTTCTCTAAGCGAGATCCCCTCTTCCTCGCTGCGTAATCTGAAAGCACTTTCACATTTAAATCTAAGCGACAATCGAATCCAAGACTTTAACAATTCTGGCCCCTTCAGGGGTAATTACAAATTACGAGAATTAGATATAAGTGGAAATAGTCTGGATCTTTCAGAAAAACTCTTCAGTGGGTTGAACAATTCTCTTCACAGGCTTAGCATACGTCGAATGAAATTAAAATCACTACCGAAAGACCTACTAACCAACTTCACACAATTACACTATCTAGATATGTCGGGCAACATGCTGACCCATCTTCCGGCAGATTTCAACCGAGGCCTTCATATTCGACACTTCATCTTACGAGACATGTACATCAACGAGATTTCGGGCGGGGCTTTCGTTAAACCCGCGCCGGCAGCCAAATTACTTGTTGACCTCAGCTCGAATCGAATGACAAGCGTTAGTTTTGTCAGCGACACCAGACCGTGCACTTTTCTGGAAGTGGTTTTGTCTAACAACCCGGTTCAGTGTGACTGCGCCCTTTACAGAGTCGTGACGGACGACACAATCCACTTACGCGGACAGTGCAATGGCGGTGGAAAACATTTCCGACACGTCAGTATTACAGACCATGCTTTGACGGACACACTCCGAAGAGTCTGCACGATACCAGATGCGAACGTTGCCCCTTGTCGGCGACTAGATGCCCAGTGGCGAGCCCATAAACAATTTTCTGGGGTGGTGTCTGTGTGGGAGAAACTGACACTGACCACTCTCTTGATTTGCTGGGCGTGGATGTTTATTTTTGCAGAGGTCAGTTTCAGGTTATTGTAAAAATATAAGGTGGTTTCAAAAATTGGTTATATATATATATATATATATATATATCACTCACATTTTCAATATATTTTTATAAACGATTAAATCACAAATATTCATATACATAATATTGTAATTTTGTTATTTTTTATAGTTGTTAGAAGTTGTGCCTTGATTGTGTTGGGCACGTTATTATACATATATTGAATGCACATTAAATAGGCAATGATATATATACCGTAATTTCCCATGTATAATACGCGTTTTTTTCTAAAAAATAATAAGCAAAATCAGCGATGCGTATTATGTATAGCCTCAAAAAAATCTTTAAAAATTGCCGTAAAATAAAATAAGAATTATCATAAAACTAAATTAGAATAATATTATTCTATGTTTAAAAACATTTTTTTAAAAATAAGAATAGGAAACGCTGGCCGTAATGGAATTAAGAGGTACAATTTCTAGGGTTTAATTACCAAACTAATGGTGCGTATTATGCATGAGTAGAAGCATTTTCTCACGCTTTCAGCACAATTTTAGGAGATGAAGGCGTATTATACAAGGAGAATTACGGTATATATACAGTCCGTCAAAAATGTATACAAACTTTAGGAAAGGAAAAATAATTGTGTAGATATTGTAATACTAAATTTATTCAAACATCACCAGATTAATACAAGTTACCTTTGTGCTCTAGAATCACAAAAGAGGCTCAAAATGGCGACCTTTAGCTTCCAAAGTTGAACTACTGTTAGGACCACACTGACTAAAGTGTCCAGTGGGATTTTGGCACCTGCATTTTTAATTTTTTGTCGCCAATATAATGCGACGAGTTAAGAAAATATCATACTACAGTAAAGAGTGATATCGAAATTTGATAAAACTACGACAGACAACTTTTTTGGCGGACTCTCTTTCTTTCTTTCTTTCTTTCTTTTTCTCTGTCTCTTTCATACACATATACTCTCTCTCTCTCACACACATATACTCTCTCTCTCTCTATATATATATATATATATATATATATATATATATATATATATATTAAATAGTACAGAAAATGAATAACATAACCATCTCAAAAAGTATATTTACATGTTTTCAACCGATTTATTTGACACAAACAGAAATCTGTTAGAGACTTGACAAACATTCCTTGTCGTTCAAGCATGTTTAAATAAAGGGTTGCAGTCTATCTATCTATCTATCTATCTATCTATCTATCTATCTATCTATCTATCTATCCCAGTCTGCTCATTATCTATCAATCTAATGGTATTTACATTTTCAACATATTTTTTATAAACGATTAAATCAGAATTATTAACACTATTTACATTATTAGGACTCTTGTTCTCATCTTTGTTGCCGTATTTATCACAACGTTTCGGCTGTTGTACACTCCGGCCTTCTTCAGAATACATAGCACAGTGGATAAAGGCGTTAGTTAGATCCAGTGACAGGACCCAAAGAGTGTGAGTTCAATACCTTTTTAAAGCAGTGGAGAACTTGGAGAGGGGAATTTAACAGGAGATAACTGATAACTGACATCCATTAGACATGGCACGTGGAACTAGTACAGTCTACCCCAGCGAGCGAAATTAAGGATTGAGTTCGACATTCCAACCACCTGAAGAAGGCCGGAGCGTACAACGGCCGAAACGTTGTGATAAATATTGCAAGGAAGATGAGGACAATAGTCCGAATAATGTAAATAGTGTACATAGCACCTCATCTCAGAAATATAGACTTATATATAGAATTATTAATTTATAAATACATGTTGCAAAATAAAATTCAAACATTTGCCTTGATAAAATCTCTCAGGGGACGAAACGCATTGGTAAAGAACACATATCCTTTTGCATTTATTTATTTATTTGTATATATATATATATATATATATATATATATAATCATTTATTCGAAAATTATAACATCAAAAAGTTATAAAATCACTACAAAAATAACCATTTTCTTTCAACACTTCTGGTGTCTTATCAAATGATGGTGTCGAAAGTTTTGAATTCTCGTATACTTGTATTTTGATTAGTCATTCCAGCTTATGCAACAGTGTTTCCCCTAGCGAGGGGGTGTTTGATTGATTTGAACCTTTTAAAACGTTTTATTATACATTCAACATCATCACTTGATAAGACAACAGAAGTGTTGAAACAAAATGGCTATTTTTGTAGTGATTTTATAATATATTTATGTTATAATTTTCGAATAAATGATTATATTTGCTCTACTCTGTACTGAGAACTCTTTTAAGAATACTATTTGTTGGTTATTGGAATTTATTCGTATACACCAATCCTATACTTTTATATATATATATATATATATATATATATATATATATATATATATATATATATATATATATATATACCGAGTGTAACAGTAAAACTGTCCAAATCGTGTAACAGTATAATTGTCCATCCAACACAATGTTTAATATCTAGAAAACCACTAGACTAATTGAGTTTATTTTCCAGGTTTTTAGATAAGACGTTTAACCCTCTTTATACCATTTGTCCTAAGAATAACTGAAAAACCCTTTGAGATATTCTGCTAGAAATAGAACAGGTTAAGCGCGTTTTGTGTGAGCTTCACTGTCTTCCCAACTGAGCAACAGTAAGAGGAAAAAATCATCCAGGCTTTCAGTAATGGTACCAACATTCATACTCTGGCTTCCATCTACAAAATGATAATTTTGCTCTTACACGCCGCGTGTAAGAGCAAAATTATCCAAACCGTGTAACATTATAATTATCCATTCCACATAATGTTTAATATCTAAAAAAAAACATTAAACTAATTGAGTTTCTTTTTTCTAGGTTTTCAAACAAGGCTTTTAGAAATTTCAGATAAGACTTTACACCATTTTTCGTAAGAATCACTGAAAAACGTTTTGAGTTATTAAGCTAAAAATACAGCAGTTTAAAATCGTTTTGTGTCAGGCACACTGTCTTCCCAACTGAGCAATGGTGAGAGGAAAAGGATCATTCAGGACTCCAGTAATGGTATAAACATTAATACTCTGGCTTCCATCTTCAAAGTCCATTCAAGAACCATCAAGAGAACGGTGAATAAGATTAAAATTGAGGGAACATGAATGAGAAAAACTGGATCAGAAGATCACAGCAGGGAGAGTGATTATCATTTTAACTTAGAGGTAAAAAGATCAATTAGAAAAGATCCAACTCAATATATAAGACATTTGGCACGGAAGAGCGGAGTTTCAACCATGACAGTCTAGAGAGCAGTGAAAAATAGACTTGAAAATGAAATCGTACGTGAAACCTGTCAGGCACCTTGTTACTACAGGTCAGAAAGAAGGTTGGAGATGCCGAAGATCATGTTGAATAAGTTGTAAAATGATCCTGGAATAATATATATTTGAACTTTATTTCGTTACGTCATGGGCTTCCAGTCTTTAGCAGTGATTAATTAATGATTATCATGTCATTTTCGTTTATGATCAATTTTATCATGATCGATTTTATCATGATACTCCTGGTAACCTAAGAGAGTAATTATTGTTACCCCCGGACAGAAAGTTAGAAGGTTACAGAGGCACAGTTCTAAACTAAACATGTACGGGTGTGTTGTGTCAATCCACTGAATGTATTTTGAAAATCAGTATTCAAAATCCTGGCTTTACCTGGGCTCGAACACCGATACCGTAGGGAAATACGGAACTAATTCCCCCATTAAGTAAGCCTGATGATATTTATGTGAGTGCATCTAAATACCTCACCTGATCATGGTTGAGTGGAGTGAGATTGGACAGAGGGATAATTTAACTGGCTTTTTGATTCTTCCCTTGTTTTTCTCACATATTTGCACGCCTGTCGAACCTTCCTAAATGTCGAAAATGTTTTTCAGTTAGGGAGAGAGAAATTGGTAAAAAAATTATGCGTTTAGAGCACAATCTGTCATGGCCTCCACAAAATGTCAGACTTTTGTCGAGTATTTTGTTGTGCCAACATTTAATAGAGTTGTTGACACTACCGTCTGCTCCAGTGAATTGAATGCATTGATTATAATCAATTTCTAAATGTCAGACAAGATGGCCATGACAGCGATGATGATGTCGGCCATTATAATAATTTGACCAAACATTTGGTATATATACAAGCTAGATGTCCGAAAGAAAAGTGAAACAGTAAAATGTCATCTGAATTATTTAAAGACAAGAAAAAAGGGATAGATATTTTTAGAAATTGTTACCCTTTCAAAGATAGAGGCAAAAGCTACAATAGGATGCATAAAAAATAATCTTATTTTTTTAGAGACATTTACTCCAAATTTTATTTCACGTCCACATCTAAAGATTACATGTGACTCGACAATATTATTAATATTATCATAACAATATATCTGTAACCGTAAGTTCTATGCTAACAGTTTCCTCTCTCTCATTTTCCTTGTGGAATTCACTTCCGGCTTGTTCTTTTTTCTCTCTTCTTAATAGTAGGTGGAGTTATGGATAGCGGCTGGGATTGAGGAATCGGAGAGCCGAGTTCGAATTCCAGTCGAATCCATTACATTCACTTACGTGCTAATACCTTAGGGAAATGTATGAATCTTCTTCTCCTCCCAGCTATGGGTAAATAGCAGGCCAGACCGGGTTCTATAACCTTGGATGGCAATTGGTCTACTGCAGAAAGAAATGGCAACCTGCTGCGGGAAAAAATCTGCCTCGTGAGTTATGTATCAAAATATACATGATCACCTAAGCGTGTATCACGCATGACATATAACTGAACTGATATTCACTTACGTGTTAATACCCTTGTGAAAGATATGAATCCTCTTCTTCTCCCCCCACCCCAGCTATAGGTAAACAGCAGGACAGGCCGGGTTTTATAACTTTGTATGGCTAACTGGTCTACCGCAAAAAGAAATGGCAACCTACCAGAAAAAAATCTGCCTCGTCAGTCATGTATCGAAAGATCCATGATCGCCTACGCGTGTATCATGTATGGTGCATAACTGACTGACTTCTTAATAGTAGTTTTTCTCCCACTCTCTAACACTCAGTAACCACCTTGTGTCTCAGTGGCTTTATTGCCTTGCTTGGGGTGAAATGATTAAGAATTTTTTTTTTTTACATACACTGAAGTGCGTCCATTTTTTTATTTTGTGAGGGCGACATTTGAATACCCTCCCCCACAAAAAAGCGTTAGGTCGGAAACCACATCAGATATTTAACCGATTATTTGATCATTGAAAGAATCATCAGTTGATCACTATATTAGAGAGTATCAAAATTGTTTTCGTTTTTTTTTTTACAGAACTTGACTCCAAGGATCATTTCATGTACAAGCTTAAAGACTATCTATGACTAGATTATTATTATTATTATTATCATTATAATTATTATTATTGTTATTGTTGTAGTTGTTGATGTTTTATTTCCTTTGATTTCTGGTGCATACTCATTTCTTTCCGGATCCCAACCAGAGACCTAAGGTCAGAAATAGTATCATAACATTTTCCATTGAGCAATTTTGAAAAAAAAAGCGGCACATATTTTACGTAGATAAATCCCTTCGTTAGTCACGGGCTCTACTTGTGAGTACGTTTTTTTTTTTTCTATTTCTTTAAGGCATAGGCTACCAGGGATTCCTTCAATGAGTTTATTGGAATCTTTTCCAGTTAAACCGAGAGCTTCAACTACGACAACAACAACAACAACAACAACAACAACAATAATAATAATAATAATAATAATAAAACTCTTTTTATCCTACATTTGTTTTATAATCAAGTGCCGAGTCATAACCGAAACCCTAGGGTAAGCGAAGGATGTATTTTTTTTTGTCGTTTTCACTAATTAAAAAAAAAACTTAAATAGACGAAGCTTTTCGCATGATATGCGCTGTATGTGTTAGAATTATTTTCTGGATTTCTTGCAGAGATTGTTTACCAGAGATATTGTTTATTTTTAAAATTGAATTCACCATATTCAAGGCAGTAAAGCAAGTAAGGCACAAGGCCTTACTGGGTGTAAAAGAATTACAAAACAGAAACATTATTAAGGAGCGAGAAAAATAGAAGAGTAATCAGGAAGACAGTCGATAACGATTAATTTAATTGCATTTAAAGTCTTGAAGAACAAAGTTGGCTGGAAAGCATGGGACCGGAAGAATGTCCCAAAAGTGACAAATGAGGGTGAAGAAACTATTAGCATAGAACTTACGGTTATAGCTAGCCAATTCAACTGTGAATTGATGGGACATTGTGGTTGAGTTCTTTTCTTTATCAGGCCCAAAGCTCCAACCACAACAAGATCAGTTTCAGTTTTTAATTGCCACATTTTTCCTATTTCCATCTCCAGGTCTTTGTAATTGCTTAGTTCTTTAAAAAAAAAAAAAAAAAAAAAAAAAAAACAATAAAACAAAAAAAAGCAAAAAAAACAAACAAAAAACAAACAAACAAAAAACAAAAAAAAAACAAAAAACAAAAAAAACCAACAACAAAGAAAACAAAACAAAAAAAGCAATATTTTTTTCGTTTGGTACGCTTAAGTGAATCAGTGTCCAAATGTTTTCTTTTCTGCCTTTGATAATGCTTTATTATTATTGTCATTATTGTTTGTGGCATCATCTTGCCAGAGAGTAAATTTAAGTGTCTAATTACCAAGTTCCCTCCGGGGTATTAAGATTAAAAAGCGCAGTGTAGGAGTGTTATCCATGCGCATTTAGGACATTTCGTTTAGATGGAGAGGTATTTGTGCATAATATGTGCACTTCCACACAAAGTAACCTTTTGTAGATCTGAGATGATGATGTCTCCAGGAATTGTACTCGCATGATTTTCTGGACCCTTTTTCTTTTATCATATCCTATGCCCCCATTACAATAGGGATAATCGTAATTTTAAGTTTCCACATTTTTGTTACTTTGCAGATTTGCAGGTTCTTATAATTTTGATGTTTTTGAAGTTCTTTTCTTTAGAAACATTGGAATCATTTCAATTAATGGCAGGTTCCTTTATTATTATTATTATTATTATTATTATTATTGTCTATCAAAATGTATTTTCTTTTTTTTTTATACAAGCATTTAGTGCAATTTTTATTTCATGTCCCACTTCTAAAGACGATGATTCCACTATATTATTAATATTATTATAAAATATTAGGGTATATCAAAAATATTTTCGTTTTTTATAGACTTTTTTTGTCAGCTACACATCTAAAAACTATCTCTCATTTTACAATATTATTATTATTATATAGTAAGTCTACCAAAAGTATTTTTATTATTTACAGATCTTTACTCTAAAGTTTATTTCATATATACATCTGAAGACTTTCTATGAGCTCAGCATATTATTATTATTATTATTATTATTATTATTATTATTATTATTATTTTCCTTTGATTTCTGTTGTTGTGTTTTGGTATTTAGTACATTGCATTTACTTTTGCTTTTTTTAGGTTCTTTCTCGCTGCAGTAGGCGCAGTGTGGTTTATTTGCACTTATTTGCCCTTTTGAACTTCCCTTTTGAAGTTGTTGGCTTCCTTTATTACTGAATAAAGTTTCTTATTTCTTTCATATCCTTTGACACAGATCCTCCTCCAATCTTCTGTAGATTCCAGGGATCTTTGAAGATAGGCAAAGCTATCTACTCCTATTGGGGAAAAATAAAAAAAAAATAATAGAGAATAAGTAAATAAATGAATGAATACTAAATACGGATATGTAATATAATTGGCCCTGATCTGGCGTCTCGTCTACAGTCACTCTTTCACAGACACACCGTCGCCTCTCTCTGTCTTTTCTACAAATACTTTCATGGTAATTGCTCCGATGAGCTGCTTTCACTGGTTCCCAGACTCCATAAATTCAAGCGCCCTACACTGTAGAAACTTTTAAATGTAGCCGTCTCTTCTATTCCAATAGCTTCATACCTCGCACCTCTCGCCTGTGGAACACCCTTCCCAATTACTGTTTCCCTGAGAGCTATAATCTCCAACTATTCAAATGTAATGTTAATCGACATCTCCAGTTACCTTGATCTACCCACTATCCTTCTCCTCATCCTTTCTTCTATCTCTCCTATCTGCTCTCGCTCCAAATCTTCTGCAACCCCCTGCATCCTAGTGGCTTCACGCCTTGCTCGGGGCGTAATGCTTAAAAAAAATTACAATGTTTTGGTGGAGACGATAGCAGTACAGAGTTGAAATCGTCTATCTGATTGCATAAATCTAGCAACTGTGTGAAATTCAAATAAGCATCCATAATTAAAAGTGGTATTCATCGCCATGAAACAGAGGAATGTAGTCAAGAACAGAGAATTCAGCGGAGTAGATTGATGAATTCAGATTAGTTTCACAAAGACCTATGATGTCTGGGAAGTGTTCCGCACCACAGAAATTGGTACGAAGGCCACGAAGGTTGGAGAAGGAAAATTGTGTCACCCCCTCCTGTGCTGGCACCCGAGACAGTCCACCCCCCTCGCCCCTCCTTAGCGACGCCACTGATCGCCACCAATTCAACGATATCAAAATCCGCTCAGCAAACTGCCAACCCGGTTGGTATCCTCAGTAGGAATAGACGTACTCATCATCCACCTACACATGTCACTAAAATGTCATGACTATCACCATTAAGGCCTCAGAAGAAGAATTAAAATGTGGCATATACCTCTGAGATGTCGAAGATAGACATTCTGTATTTGACGTCTCAGTCTTTGAAAATTAATTCAGTTAGCTTATTTGGAGAATCCATCATATGTCCACATGACATTTTTAACCATGTTATGTTCATTCGATTTATTTATTTCTAGCCATCAACTAGTCATACCATCAAAAATTAATGACAGCTACCCTTAAAAATGCCCAGAAGAAGGAACCAGAAACCACATCCTAAACAGGAAATTCACGTCCATAATTAAAATGGGTGTTCTTCACCCGAAAAGAGAGTAAGATAGCCAAGAACAAAGAATTCAGTGAAGGATATTGGTGAATTCAGACTAGTTTCACAAAGACCTATGATGTCTGGGAAGTGTTCCACACCACAGAAATTGGTACGAAGGCCACGAAGGTTGGAGAAGAAAAGGATGTGAGAGTTAGGTATTTTGGGGCGAGCTGGTTTAGTCTTATTTAGTTTATTACTTTTGATCATGGTATGTAATAAAGGTGGGAAATGCCAAGAATAATAGCATCTGCGCATCGCCTATCGTAATATGAGCAGGCGGAGACTGCAGTATAGTGTGGCCTTAGGGTTGCCCACCGGAAGTGCTTGTAAGGACACCTATCCTTGTGCGACATGGAACTACAAGAACCTCGATATTATACGACTGATAATCAGAGAAGTCTCTCTAGTTGCTATTCAAGAGTTCGGGATCTTAACTATCAACAACCAGAAAACTGCCAACCCTGTCGGTACCCCCAGTAGAAAGAGACGTACCCACCATCCACACATGTCACCAAAAAATCATAAGTACCAATAATAAGACCTTAGAAGAAGAAAGGAACCGAGAACCCCTTTCTAAACAGGAAGCAAGGGATGAACCTGTACGCCTGTTCAAGAGAAGGAGGAGGAAGTGTATGAACCGGGCGATAGGATGGCCTAGCTACTCCTTTTAAAATATGGTAACGAGTTTTATCTTAAGTCGAGATATTTATTAAAAAATTCAAGCGATAATTAAAATGTGGCTTATACCTCTGAGATATCGAAAATACATATTCTGGATTTGAATTCTCGGTGTTTGAAATTTAATTCAGCTCATTTGAAGCTTTCATCATCGGCCCACAGAATATTTTTAAACATGCTATGTTTAGTTTACTTATTTATTTCTAGCCATCAGCTAGTCATACCATCAAAATTTAATGACAGCTACCCTTAAAAATGCCTCAGAAGTTGTAAGCGGAAACCACATCCTAAACAGGAAACAAGGGATAAATCTCTACTCTTGTTGAACAGAAAGGGGAGAAGTATAGGTAGACCTATCACAGTCAGTCAGTTATGTGCCATGCGTGGTACACGCTTAGGCAGATTTTTTTGCCATCCAAGACTATAGAACCTGATCTGTCCTGCTATTTACCTATAGTTAAAGAAAGAGGAGGATCCATACCTTTCCCAACGGTATTAGCACGTAAGTGAATGTAATGGATTCAACTGGAATTCGAACTTTCCGATTCCTCAAGCCGCTATCGATTACCCCTTCTATTAAAAACAAAGCAGAAAATAATTAAGAGGATAAGAGAAATGAATGGATTAGATAATAGAATATTATTGAGGAGGCGTAGATGTTTCGTGGTACTTTGTTACCTTATTAACATACTTACCATTGTTACTTTACGAATTAACTTAAGACTACTTTCTCCTCTTTCCATTGAACGTCTCCCCTCTGCCCACATCAGATAGAAAGGAAATTTAAGAGCGGAGTTAGCCTAGGTTACTTAGGGAACTGATAGTATGATTATAAGCACTTCCGGTCCTACTAGGGAATTCTGGGAGCAGACAGATTGTGCGGCAGTTTAAATAAAATAGGTGTATCTAGCACGCCCCGTGATGTCTTTGTGTTATTTGAGTTTTTCAGCGGCCAGTCACGTGTAATTTATCTTTTCATCCTAAGCCCATATTTCCTATCTATCTATCTATCTATCTATCTATCTATCTATCTATCTATCTATCTATCTCAGTATATATTAGTTTGGTTTGGTTTGCTTTGTTTTACGGCATATCAACTTCAATGGGTTATTTAATGCCGACCAGATTTATATTACTGGTAATATTCTTTTTTCAAAAAATACTTTTTGGCAATTTTTTTTCCAAAAATGTATTGCTAGTAATAATTTTTTACAAAAATGTATTGCTGGTAATAAAACCTATTTTTACACGTTTTGATCCTAGTTTGGGTGTTAACTATTTGCCCATAGCTGGGACCCTAACAGGTGCTACCACCCCGGGTCAGGGTGGACCTTGAAACAACAACAATTAAGAAGTGGTTCCACGTTCTTCTAATCAGAGGCCTTGCTGCTGAATGTAGTTTATCGTCTTACCCAGGCCGCGGACGTGGTTTATCCTCTTACCCAGGACGCGGACGTAGTTTATCGTCATACCAAGGTCGGTTGAATTTTGTCAAGAATCTCGAGATATATAATAGGGGGAACAGTATTGAATGCACGGACGATTGGTAGATATATACATGTGTAAGATGTTAGGCGAGAATGAGCCAACTTTCTTAGCAGTATACCAGGCAACTGATTTAATATAATCGGTCCACTTCATGTCAATGGAAGACACGAGCCCATGAAGGTGCAAAGTGTTGCTCTTCTGGAAGTTAGCATCAGTCATACCCATGGCACACAGGAAAAAAGTTCTCTATCAGTCAGTTATGTGTCATGCGAAATTAACGCTTAGGCGATCATATATCTTTCGATACATGACTGACGAGGCAAATTTTTTCCCGTAGTAGTTTGCCATACTTTCTGTGGTAGACCATTTGTCATTCAAGACTATAGAACCCGGTCTGTCCTGCTATTTACCCATAGCTGGGGGAGAAGAAGAGGATTCATACCTTTCCCAAATCGTAAGTGAATGTAATGGATTCGACTGGAATCCGATTCCTCAATCCGAACTGCTATCCATCACTCCACCGTGCCTCTCTATAGTGGTTAAATAAAAGTTGTTCCTTGCCCCAGTTAACAACTGATTGAAGGTCATTTTCAAGAGCAGCTGCCAGTTTTACTTTCTCTAATCTTTTGGATTTGTTACTAAGGCAGGAGTAAATAGTTAATATACTTAGATAATAACTGATGAGATCGGGAAGATTGTTGATGAAGATAAGAAACAACGTATTTTCAAAGATAGAATCCCAGGCTTCCAGCATTAATGTGAAATATTCGAGAAGCGTGTCCTTTCAACACGTACTTCATTACACAATTTGATAAGAACGATTGGATTAAGCCAAATATTCATCCAGAGACACCATACCACTTGAGATTTTGGAGAAGTCCACCATGGCAAACCCTGTCAAACTACTTTGAGATATTACGAGAGGTAAGAAAGGGACGTCTGTTATAATCGAACCTGTCCCTTTGTAAGAAGAATAGATTCCTGTGGGCGTTAGGGACCGAACAGGCAAGAGAGAATCAAGGAAAAGATTGTGGTTTCACTTGGTATTTCCGTGATGGAACCAAAGCTTCGATGTCGGTTTACTCCCAGAAGAGACTTCAACGGCACATTTCTCAACAGGATGATTAAAAATATAATTCCAGCGGGTGTCGCGAAGAAAATCACGAAGTCAGTCTCAATGCGTTGATCGCTGAAAGATGTTCTGTTAACAGGGATTTCTTGACTGATAGGAGAGCGGAAAGAGATATCTAAAGAAACTAGCGAATGGCCAGATTTGCAAAGAGGGCAGAGCTGCAGAGCGAGACATGAATTCTGGGTGGAGGTAAGGAAATCAAGTAGAGATGCGTGCCTGTCAGAATTACTAGGGAAATGCGTAAGGAAGTCTACTAGATGATTGATAGATTGAGCAATAGATAAGTTCAAAGTCTGGAAGCCAGCGAAATCAGTGACATTGGAGTGATGGAGGCATTTCATATGATGGATATTTTCAGACGAGGATAGAGAGCCGTCATTTTCCATACTGTCAGAGATTCTATCTAGCAAGGAACTGTCATGAGAGGGAGATTAACTATAAAGGAAGAGATAACTAAGTTAAATAGTAAAAGTCGGAACGAGATTCAAGAGAGTGTTCCCTCACCAAGGACATGCATCTGGACATTAGCATCCTTTTTTAAGAGATGAAGACTGAAGAATTCCTTGGAAGAGATTGAAGAATTTAGATTAGTTTCACAGAGATCTATGATGTCTAAAGAATGTCTACAAAGAAACGATTCTGCACTGCAAAAATTGGTACAAATACCACGAACGTTGGAGAAAGAAAGCGTGAGGGTCTTAGTTTTTTCTTGCGTTTTTTTTAATCGTTTTGATATAGTTTTAAGGTGGAAAAGGCCAAGAAAATAGTAACTGCCTGTTGTTCAAAGGCTACATGAGCTGGCTGGAAATTGACGCATCGTGTGGCCTCAGGGTTGCCTACCGGAAGTGCTTGCAGGGTCACCTATTCGACATAACACCGTAGAAATACCATATGCAATTGTTGATCAGGGCAATCGCTCTAAGTGCTAAGTAAGGGTTCGGTCTCCTTACTACGAATCGGGATGCAGCAACCAGAAAACTTGCAAACCCGTTACCCTCAGTATGAAGAGTTGTAGCCTCCAGCCAGTCATATCATATGTGTTAAGGAAAGTGTTATGTCTCTAAACTGCGGGTAGATCTGAGGCATGACCATCATCATTCCGGCCAGAACCTCGAAAAATCGGAGAGGATATAATAATAATAATAATAATAATAATAATAAGCTTCTCACTTGCTATCGCATGCATCATCCCAAAACTGATGTTGATCCTCTGTATGTGCCCAGATCCGAAGGAGGCAGAGGATTAGTTCAACTAGAACTGTCCTACAAAACTACAACAATTGGCTTCCAAAGATACTTGGAAACTACAGAAGACTGGATGATGGTATGCGTCAAGGAACATGAAAGTAGTAAGCGTCTTTACTCCGTAATAAAAGAAGCCAACAAATTCAAACTGGAGTTTCAAATGGGCGTAGAGATGCAACTACAGCACAATACACAGGCTGAAACTGCAAAATACTTAAAAAAGACAGCAAAGACGAATGCAACCGACCAGATACAGAAGCGATGTCAAGATAAATCGCTTCATGGCGAATACTCTGCTCGTACCAAACAGGCTGACCTAGACAAAACCCGTACCCATCAGTGGCTACGTAGTGCAGGGTTGAAAGCTGAAACTGAAGGTTTTATCCTTGCTGCACAGGATCAATGCTTGCTAATTAGGAATTGTCAAGCACATATACTAAAATATTGTGTCAGCCCAAAATGCAGATTCTGTGATAAATATCCAGAAACGATTGATCATCTTGTATCGAGTTGCACGATATTGGCACCCACTGAATATAAAACCTGGCATATGGGCCAATATTTGCACTGGAAAATCTGCAACTTCTACGGGAAGGAAACTGAAAGAAACTGGTATGAACACCACCCAGACCCGGTTACGGAGATAGGACCTGTTACAATTCTATGGGACTACACAATACACACCGACAGAACAATCAAAGCCAACCGCCCAGATATTGTTATTAAAGAGCACAAACAAAAACGGTGCCTCCTTATTGATATGGCAGTCCCTGTATCTTTGAAGTTATTCCAAAAGCTGTCAAAATACAAGGACCTTGAAATAGAAATCTCGAAAATGTGGCATATGGGAACATCAACAATCCCTGTTGTAGTTGGAGCCCTAGGACTGGTTGGAAAAGATTGCAGTAATTGAAGGGATTCTTCTAAGTCCATGCCTCAAGGAGATACAAAACATTGTTCTGACAAGTACAGCCCACACTTTACGAAGGGCTTTATCTATGTAATTTTTTTTTTTTTTTTTTTGTCAGTGGAAAGTGTCATGATGCCATTTCTAACCTTAGGTCCCTGGGCGGAAAGAAATGTGTAAACGCCAGAAATCAAAGAAAATAAAAATAATAATAATAATATTTAAAAAATTCGCGTCTGGTAAAATGTTGTCTGTTTGTCACTACCATACATCCCTAGAAGATAACAGTCTGCAAAAAATTTTTCGATGAATATCGAATTTTACAGTAATTGTTTTCATTCTAAAAAAAAAAAATATTTAGAGTAATTTATAAAGTTTTATATCTTTTATTAAGTAAAAACTATATTTACAATCATAAACTAAATGGGAAAAATGGAATTGTAATTTAGCGACTCTTAATATTTTTTTACTTTGTTTTGTGTGAATAAACCTGACGATTTTTGTAAATACGGACGTCCATATACAACATTATCAGAAAATAAGAGTCAAGTAAAAGTAAATTTAAAGTCAAAGTACCTAAAATTCAATAAAATTTTGCGGTATTTTGCAGCAATAAAAGATTGCAGAGGATATTTTCCTAAGTTTTTAGAGATTACTCAGTAGTTAAGAATTATATAAGAAAAAGTTCCTCAATTCATTTTTTACAGGTATGTCCACCGTAGAAAAAAGAAAAAGAAAAAGGAAAACAATCTTCCGTCTGTCAGTCAAGCTTCCAACATCTTAACTAAACACTTACTGCCGTATTAAAAATGCATTTCTACGATATTTTAAAGTAAACTAAAAGTAATATTTCTTTCAAATCAGATGAATTAAAATTTAAATTATCTAATATTCCTCAAATAAAGATTCAAAAAAAATATTTATTTTCGAGAGATTTTTAATAAAGAGAATTACATTGTGATGACAAATTGCAAAGAAAAAAAAAATCGCTAAAATTTAAATTAATTTTGAAATACAGCGAAATATTTCGTTTATTGGAAATATTAATTTTGATCTATTAGCTTGAAATTAATACTAAATAAATGCTTCTAGAAAGAATCTTCATTCCTTAAAATGCATTATAAATCTGGTATCGCGTTTCTGTGAAGGTACCTCTTCATATCCGATTTGGTGTCAAGATGTGCATATTAAATTAGACTTACTATATTTGTACCATAACCTTGGCATGGTTCTCTAACACCCAATAATAATAATAATAATGACAATATTGATAATTTTTAATCATTTATTTAAAAATATAATTTAAAAGAGTTCATGTTTGTATTCTGCCGAACACGAACTGAGTGTTGAGAAACAAATGACCTGAAATGATACTTCAGGCATATTATGAAATCACTGGAGTTCTCTCCCCTGAATGGTGCAAGGGAAGTAATCCAGTATGGCCTCAAAACTGTGATACAAATCCGTGAAAAGAAGCTGTTTTGTTTTGGCCGACCGGAAGACATGATTATAGCTTGATACAATTTATTTCTATATGGTGGAAATCTATGTTGGAGTATCTCAACTCAATATATTAAAATAAACATGACACTTCCTAAGGGCGTCACGGAAAATCATTCAATTTTCTCCCTCTCTTTCCTTGTTGGCTTTCACATCTTAGCCTCTCCCCGTTCCCCTCTCTCTGCGTGACACACACACACACACACACACACACACACACACACACACACAGGCAGACAGACACACAGGCAGACAGACACAAACGACACAGTCAGCATATATATATTTTATATATTTTGAACAATAAAAATATTAAAAAATTAAAATCTTCAGACACACTGGGTTGTAGATTAATATTCTTTATTATTCTTACTTCATTTATATATATATATATATATATATATATATATATATATATATATATATATATATATATATATATATATGTTTATATATATATATATATATATACGAATTAAAACTAAAAAAAGAAAACTTATCTTAGCAGACAAGTTTCATCATCTGAGAGACTCTATAAAGGCAAATTTTTATTTTGCAACAAGCATTTACAAACAAAAGTAGAAAAAATATTCTTAGTTTTTCAACAGTTTTAGATTTAAAAAGTTTTACAAAATTTTTTAATTAAAAAGTATCAAACAACAAAATTTACTCACTTTCGTTTATTGGACATTAAACTATATCACTTAGCATCCGCCATAATTTATCCTGACTTTTCAGTTAACCTGATGAATATTTATCAGCGTCTCTTAAAGTTAACAATTTACCAATTGGATCACCAATAAGCAGCGTGTTTACTTGTCTGTTCCTAGAGTTTTAGTATCCAGTACATTTAAACACATCGTACCTAAAAAAATCCTCTTACTTCATATACAGAGGTGACTTTCTTTTAATATATCCTGTCATATAGGAAGAAAATGAGTAACACCAAGGTTCGATCGTGACACTCTGGACTTATGAATATATGTTTCCCGCCAGGTTTATAAATAACGGTGTCAGGATACTGACTGTAGTGATTATTGAGTGGAACTATCCAGTCGAATTAGTGTGAATTATTGTGCGTCGATGATTTGGGTTTTGATTTAGGATTTACCTGGACATTAAGTCAAGTCGTGTTACTAACAGTATATTCACTGAAATGTTTAATTATCTTTGATTGGCTTTTACTTCTTTGTTCTTGTTAAGTATTTCTTTGCGGTTGTAATTAAATACTGTTTTATCTTAACAATGAACTCTTGAGTTATACTTAATTATTAACGGCCACCGTACGTCACAAAACTCAGAAATATTCCCTGGAAACAGGAAGTCTGGTGTGCGCTATTTAGGAATTTTTTTTTATCACTGCTAATTTACAACTTTTTGGGCATTGGCTATCATAGTTTACAAGATAGGAGTTTGAACTGGTGTTTTTTTTTATATAGATAGGTAGTAAAATTAAATCGAGGCAGGTTCTTTAATTTTTCTTATATTTTTGTCATTCTTTTTCTGATGTCGTACGCCAGTTTCTTTTTTGTTAAACAAACGTTAGTATAATTTGAAATAAACAAATCTCCACCTTTCCTCAACATCTTATTAATACGTAAGAATAACAAATTAGATTTTAGAATTTATCGTAAACCCACTAACAAAAACAATCTAACTTCTATTCCCACCATAACCAAGAAATAAAATCAGGATTAGTCTTAGGATTCTAGCTCAGAACCTTTAGAACATGTCACCAAGAATATTTAGGTGAAGAAGTGAAATACATTTAGACTTTTTCACCACGTCATTTGCTTCTCAACGCTCATAAATTATAAATCAAGGCTTAGAAATTTCACTTTTATTTACGCTTCATCAGAATTTAAATATGTTGGTTGGTTGATTTTGTTTATCGGCATATCAACCTCTGCTGGTTATTTAATACCGTAATCTAAATATTTTGCACGCATTTTTCTAGTAGTGATTTTTAGTAGTACATGTTTTACTAATTAACCCATAATTGGGGGGCAAGTTGAATTCTTACCTTTCCCAAAGGTATTTGCGCGTAAGTGAATATAAAGAACCCGACTGGAATTAAAACTCGGATCACCGATTAACAATACCGAGCCATTATCTAATACACTACCGCACATCTCAGCTTACAGCACCTGGTATTCCCAAGCAGTCACCCATCTAGGTAGTGACCAGGATCAACGTTGGTTAACTTCGGTAATCATACTGGGAACCTGTGTTTCAACGTGATGTGGCCGTAAGCCGAAACATTAATAAAAGCAAATACAGGTCTTTTTGGGTTATTTGTTTTTCATTGGTTAAGTAGACTTCACTTGTATTTGTCTTGTCAGGTAGCGTTCGTTTGTATAATTCTTGTATGTCGTAATTCTAGTTGGTCTATGCGGGATTTAGTTGATAATGTGTGCGCGCGTCTAGTGGGCGTCTGATAGTGTCCGAATGTTCTTCATCTCATGCTCAACGCTAGAAAACGAACATATAAGTCCACAAGTTCAAATAGTAGACACCGACGACAACAAAAACATTCATAATCCTACCCGCCAACACTATCAACAAAATTTGAGAACAAACCAGTTATCCCTAACATCAGATATATAGATAGCAAGACAAATAGTTCCAAGACCACATCGGATGCCGTTATTTATTATATAAAAAATGCCTGCAATTCCAGAGGGCGATACATCCAGAAATCTAAAAGCCCACATCTACGAACATAAGAGAGACCTACGTTGAGACAATCTTTTGAATTTGCTCGTAGCACACAGGAATAAAACAGGTCATGTCTTCGATTTAATAGATATCACTCTAATTAGAAAAAAAAAACAGTTTATTACGTAGAAAATACTTAGAAGGAATCCTGATAAATATTATTCCCATCAATAAACACATTTTATTATATCACCAACTTTTATCAAGTCCATACTTAAAGAATCTAAGATCAGTCTACCTAAAACCACAACCGGTGTAACCTAAATTCTTTCCACTCAAAACACCCCCCAATCAACATACGGACAGAAATAAAATGACCACTAGGCACACAAACGCATGCACACATTATCAACCAAATCCCGCATAGATCAACAAGAATTAGATAACTGATAACTGAGATCCATTAAACATGGCATGTGGAACTAGAACAGTCTACTCCAGTCAGCGAAATAAAGGGTTCAGTTCGACATTCCAACCAGCTGAAGAAGGCCGGAGTGTACAACGGCCGAAACGTTGTAATAAATATGGCGACAAAGATGAGGACAATAGTCCGAATAATGTAAATAATGTATATAATCATCTCAGAAATATAGACAGATATTTAAATTTGTTGTTTAGATTTTTCGTATACAATTGAGAATCGATGAGTTTGTTCTTGATAGCCTTTTGTAACTGGTTCAACCAGATGCTATAGTTACTCTCCATTGATGGTGTGGCCCTTTTGAAGATAGTTGATAAACACAATGCCTTTTGCATCCTCCAAAAGCTGAGACAATCACCTTCCCCGCAGGTGAAACGACCTTGCCTGCCTTTGAAGCAGGTGAGGAGTGGTGTTTCTACTGCTGGGATTGTCTCTTTGTCTCTGGTTTAAAGTGATGAACCCTAACACTCATACTGGGTTAGGGAACGTTCAAGGAAATCAGCTGGATCGGCCTCAAACAATGTCAGATTTTCCCGTGATGCCATCATCCTGTTGCGCTTTTGATCAGGTGACAAAAGACATTCTACCCACCCAGCAGAAACCTTCATCATGCCAAGTTCATTGTATTGTGCAGAATATTCCAAACTCTCTCACGGGATATGATAATAACATCAGATATTTCATTTATAGTCCTATCGACTGTCATCTGTCACCATGTGGTGAACATAGTCAATGTTTTTTCGGTGGTGACAATTACAGGCCGTTCATAATTTGGGCCATGTTTGGGACTCTCCCCTCGCCCCCTAAATTCAGCTGCCCTCTTTTGCACTGTTCATAAATCTGGAGCATCATCCTTTAATATAGCAAGAATTTCCTTGGGGGTTAAACTTATTTTGTCCATTTTCAACAGAAGTTACGACTAGTTACTTTTTTAAGCAGCCAGATATCAGATAACCTGGAAAGAAACAATATAGTACGAACAGACTTGGCGGATGTGATATTCTTTTTTCAAAAAACAACCTACAGGAGACATAAAAATGAAACAAGAGCATTGCTATGATGAATTTCCTGATTACTTACCATACAAGGTCCCTTAATAGCGTCTCACTGGTGGCCCAATTATCCTAAAAAAGGGTATCTGTCCACGCATACATAGTCAGTCTCCCTTTGAATGGTTTTCTGATAGGACCTGTAACAATTTTATGGAATTTCACAATGCACTCAGGCAGAACATTCAAAGCTAATCGCCCAGACATCTTTATTAGAGATCGCAAAAAAAAAAAAAAAAATGGCGCCCTATTGATATGGCAGTATGAAGTTCTTCAAAAAGCTATCAAAATACAAGAACCTTGGAATCGAAATCTCAAAAATGTGGCACATGAGAACATCAACAATCTCTTTTGTAGTTGGAGGCTCGGATTGATCGGAAAAGATTCCAATAGACTCATTGAAGGAATTCCTGGGAGACCATGTCTGAAAGAAATTAAAAAAAAATGTTCTCACGTGTACAGCCCACACCTTGCGAAGGGCTTTATCTATGTAAAATATCTTTGTTTTTTTTTTTAATTGCTCAGTGGAAAATATCATGATGCCATTTCTGACCTTAGGTCTCTGGTCGGGACCCGGAAAGAAATGAGTAAACACCAGAAATCAAAGGAAATAATAATAATAATAATATGGTGAGCTCATAGAAAGTCTTTAGATGTATATATGAAATAATAATAAAAATAGACTCATTGAAAGGATTCCTGGAAGCCCATTCCTTCAAGAAATATAAAAAAAAATGTTCTCACTAGAACAGGCCACACCTTACGAATGGCTTTATCTATGTAATATATATATATATATATATATATATATATATATATATATATAGTGTAACCCGGATATAAGAGACCCGGATATAAGAGAAAACCGGATATAAGAGAGATTTTCTCTGGTCCCAAATTAGAGCCTGTGTTAATGTATACATATAGACCAAACCCGGATATAAGAGAAACTCGGATATAAGAGATTTCTTCTCCGGTCCCGACAACTCTCTTATATCCGG